AGGTTGGTAATTTTTATTTAAATAACATTGTATTATATAATACTAATTGATTTTATATTCAATTTCAGGCAATGAATTATTATAAAATTAGATCATCAACAATTGTTCCTTGCTATGGTATAACTAAATTCCCAGATAATGGAAATTATGCAATAGTTTTAGATTATGCTCCAGAAGGAAATTTAAGGGGTTACTTGAAAAAAAATCATTTTAATTTAACATTAAAAGACAAAATTATAATCTTTGATTATTTATGTGATGCATTATATGATATACATGAAAAAGATTTAATCCATTGTGATTTACATAGTGGCAATATATTATTGGAAGGAGGTAATTGTTATATTACAGATTTGGGATTATGTGGGCCAGTTGATGAAAAATCATCAAATAAAATCTATGGAATTATATCATATGTTGCACCTGAGTTACTTAGAGGCAAAATTAATACAAAGAACACAAAAGAAACAGATATTTATAGTGTTGGGATGTTAATGTGGGAAATATTTGCAGGCCATCCACCATTTGATGATAGAGGCCATAATCATCATTTAATTTTTGATATATGTGAAGGTTTACGACCACCAATATTACCTGGGATGCCTGATGGCTATGTACAAATGATGCAGAAATGTTGGGATGTGGATCCATCTAAAAGACCAACTATTGGAGAGCTTGTGGAATTTGCTGGTAATAAACTAGAAGAAATTTTTAAAAATATTAGTGATGACAATAACAGTGTTGGTAATAGTAGTAATAATAATACTACTAGTGGTAGTAGTAGTAATTCACAACAAGTACACAAATCACATCCTGATGCATATCATAAAAGTAGAATATTAGATGATGAAATTAACAAGTCAAATAGTTTAAAAAGTTATACAAGTAACAACAGTTCATTAAATAATCTTGATATTAACTCTATTCTCTTAAACATTGATCTTAACAATGGTAAATAAGTACAAATTTCATTAATAAATTAATTTAAATTATTAATTGTTAATTTATTTATTGCTAACAATCTTTTTTATTCTTGTTTAACAAATTAATAATATTAATAATTAGATTCTAGTAATAATAACAATAATAGTAAGGGAAAAGATGTTGAAACATCAATGGATGATTAATTTAATCTCCATTATAAATTTATTCATATAAATTATTTATTTATTTATCTTTTATCTTTATTTTATTCTTAAAACTTTACAACAATGTTTTGAAATAATAAATATTTTACAATTTTAATTTTTGTACCAAAGCAGAGAAATACTTTGAATCGGAGGTTTTCCTTTTTCCTCACATTTGTGCATAACGAATGATGCTGGTGGAAACACCATTTGTGGTATAAAATCACTGATGAGGATTCTTTATTGATAGAATCCAACATATTATTTTCCGATAGATTAGTGATAAAATATGTAACTTGATTAAACATCCAATTATATATACTGACTCTAATTCGCCATAGTGATATGAACCAACTAAGATGATAAAAAAATTTCTCTCTTAACATTTATTTTGCGCCTGGAATTTCAGTGCAGAATTCAGTGGCATAGACACTTGGTTGAGATAGGTTCATCTTCATTACTTGGTATGACAAAAGAAAAAATACATTTGCTCAAAAAAAAAAAAGGTATAACAAAGAAAGCGACAGTAATGGTTGGTTTCTATTCGTAATACAATTCTTACTCGAATTATTCTTAATCTTAATATTATTACCATGAATAAAATTTCTTGGCAAAAGGAAAGTTTCATGCTTTACTCTGCATCATCCATTCTTAACAAAGAAAAAGTAATGGACTGTGATTTAAAATAAATCCGCTTAGAGTTTACGTACAAACAGGTTCGAACCAAATACACAATACGGACAAAAGACGCGTGCATTTTTAAAACAACGATTACACGTAATAATTTTGTTTATAGCTTGGGTTCTCAAAATTATATATGCAAAATTTTATTTGACATTTTTATTGAATTAATAATTTAATAAACTTTAACCGAAATTTGACAAAATATTTCCCGCTTCAAAAGAAATGGATTGTTCAGAGAAAACGCACATAATAATCTTATGATATATGATAATACACGTCTTGAATAAATAAACATTATGTTTGAACAAATTCTCCGAAAGTTTTAAGCTCGAATGTCGGCTTTAAATGAAAGTCAATATGGAGAAATAATCAATCTTTATAAAAAACAATGTACCCGACTTAGAGATGGGCAAATGGCGTACAGTTGAACACTATACGATACTATACGATACTTTACGTATAGTGTGTATAGTAGTGTAATACAAACTGAATAAAAATAATTTGGCTATTACACTTTTTTATATCTAAAGGTTTTATTTATGAATCATTAATTATATCGAATGAATTAAAAATCAAAACTGCTTTCATTTTTATTTGATTCTTCAATAAAATTTTCAATTGTGTTGTAATTTATCTGTACACTAGTATTTGAAGTATTAAAATGTTCTCCAAAATAATTTCTTTTAATTTGAATTGTGGCATTTGGACAAAGACGTAAATGTTTTTCACATCTAGAATTCTTGACTCATACTATTAAAAATCATATTTATGAAAAAGACCCTACATAAAAATCGAAAATAATTCAAAAGGACTAAAAATCTACTGAAAAAGCAACGAATATTCGAATGATTTATTAACAGCTTTACGATCGAGAACGCAAAGTGAGCTCGCAAAAAAAAAAAGATCAATCATTCATTTGTAACAAATTAATATTTTAAATTCTAATTATATTTAATAGTTGAAAGAGTTATGTCAGAAAATGCTGTCAGGTCCTTCTAACTTCCTGACTTCACACTATTCTCGCTCTAGGACAAGTCGTGTCCTTTGCATTGAGAATTAATCAATCACAAAATCACACGAGAATTCCATGATATTTTTTTTAGGAATCATTTTTTTAACAGGGAGAAAGGTAATGAATGTATGTTGAAATTAAAGAAAAAATATGATCAAAAAAATAAAATTTTTTTAAAGAAAATTATTCATAAAACATAAAAGGTCAAACTCGGACAATTTATTCTTTATAAATTACTTTCTTATTAGAATTGACACTTTTAACAATGAATAATGAATTCTCATCTACATCACCACCATCACCAAAATAGATTGTATAACGTATAAAGAAACGTTTGCACGAACAGAAAAATTTTTACAAAGCGAAAATTTAATATTACACGTTTACGCGAAAAAGAGCCGATCGAAAGCAATTTCACTCTGGAACAGTTGGTTAAAGAATCTTTATCAAGAACTGATACAAAAATACTTTCCAAATTTTTGGCATGGCAAACTATTTGCGTGAATCCGAAAAACAGAGCTGCTATATTGAGTAATAAGTAGCTGCTTGTCAGATGATATTTTTTTTCTGTTAAAGTCGGAAACTAAAGATTTAGTTGATTTCTACGTTGAAGAAAAAGATGGATAATCGGGTTATTAGTGGATGAAGGAGGTAATGTTAATCTTTATTTTGTATGTGTGTGTACGCGTGAAATATAAAGATGACTGACTATAAATAACATTTATTTTGTAAGCGAGAGGTGTCAAAAGATATTGGACTTTGATTTCCTAATACCTGGCGAATAAGTTACAATTCCGAAATGTCTAAATTTAAAATAAATATTAACGATGATAAATAATAATAGTAACAAAAACGTCTGTAATATTAAATTTAGTGATGCTATTCAAGCACGATTAACGTTTGCAATTATCCAAATTTGTTACAAGAAACCCATACAGTTTGGAAACTTAATCAAGACATACATATAAATGTGACGTTTATATAAATAGTCTGTATTTTTACTTTTTTATTATTGGCTTAATTGTAACCTCGAAAGGAATTAGCCACTTGGTTATATTAATAAAAAACAATATCTTTACATTTACGAAAAATAAAGTGCAATTGAATAAATATCCTAAATGATAATGAATTTTTATGATAATAATAATAATAATAATAATAATAATAATAATGGTGATGATAATAATAATCATGATATAATAATGATATAATAATAATAAAAAAAATAAATAATTCAACGTAGTCCCTGGTAATCTATTATTTTACGAATAAATGGAAATAATGAAAATTGTTATCATCATCATCATCATACACTGATATTCAAAATTCATTAAAAAAGTATAAACTTACATTACAGGACTACAAAAAAAAGTCTGGCGATCTGAAGAAGTTTTCATAACTCGAGGATGATATCATTTTCCGTGTTGCGATGCCTGATGCCTGTGGTGCTGATTCTTCTGTGCCCTCTTGGGCAAAAATACTTGGTGGTGCTTGAGAGTGACCCAATAATGGGTCCTGATAATAAGATTGAAAATTAGTATATAATAATAAAAAAATAATAGTTTGGGGACATATTGGAAATTAATTAACTTACCATTTCTGTGCTTGGAGGGTGCTCGCAAGGAACAAAGTCTTGCGGCTGCAGGATATAAATATATTGTGAGGTATGTAGTTGCTTACTAGTACAATTATAATTATAATGGTTATTGCCAATTCCGGTCATAACCAATGTTGTTTCTGGTATTGTTGCCGTTGGTATTGTTGCCGTTGGTATTGTTACCGTTGATAATAATGATGGCGACAGTTTATTATCATCTTTATCATTATTATTATTATTACTATCATTATTATTATCATCATCACCATCATTATTGTTAATAATATCACCGTTATTATTAAACGGCTTGTTATCCGAACCATCTGAACATGACATTATTTAAAAGAAATATAATATAATACGTTTAATAAAAAAGGAGTAAAGGCATGTTTTTCAATTAAACAAACAAAGGCACCACTTACCAGGTATTGGTTCTTCAAAAAAAAACTCGTGGAACAACGAGTCGTCATTATTATCAAGGACCATTGAAGATTCCTTGTTAGGATAATCAAACAATACTGCTTCGCAGAAGAGATTGAATGAAGGAGTATGTGGTGGTGAAGGAATGTAAAAATATTGTATGTTGGAAGGTGAAAGAGATGGGATTGGTGAAAAAGTGGAGATGATAGAGTCGCAAGAGCTCTAATTTAAAAACATTATCAACCGATTTCGTTACCACAGAATTATTAGAAACAATTTCGAAATATTGTGTAAAGTTAACACATTTGTCAATTTCTTTAATAATAAATGAAATACCCGAGATATTATTCAGTTTATTTGATTCACTTAAAAATTTAAACCATTTATCAATCTATACAAACTCGGCAGATGTTCCATTTACCTCAACCGAAAATTTATCAACATTTTCTAGAAAAATTCCCAAAACTTTAAAATATTTTGGGTTTGATTTTTTAATTTCTCCTGATATATTAGATTTTTTCCTAAAAGAATGCAGAGCTTCGTTACAAGCATTAGCTATTTACAGGAGCGAGATGGTTAATGAAGAATTATTAATTGTCATTGAAAAACATTTTAAAGAGAAAAAATCTTTAAAACGATTATTAATAGATCCTCTTGATTGTGATTTCCAAATGAATAAATACGAAATACCAATCATTTCACGCACAATCGATCCTTGTTATCCTTTCAGCGGGTAAGTTTCATTAAAATTCTTTGCTTTTATTTTCTTAATTACAACAGCGCACGTGTATGTATGTATGTATATTAATCATTTTCTCAAAACAGACCTTCCACAAAAGAATATGAAAACAAATGGGATAAAGATATTTTTGTTGATTTCGATAATGAATTATGATATCAATTAAAAATAAAAATAAAAAGAAAATATATATAAACATATAAACATACAAATATGAATATGAATATAGATATAAATATAAAAATATAAAAAACATAAACATAAATATAAAAATATAAAACATATAAATTGTATCATAATTTAGTGCAAAAAAATATCAATAAAATCCAAATTTATAATATATTTACAATGTTTCTTCAATGACTTTGATTCCTTCTTTTTCTAAAGTTTTACTTGATATTGGAATGTTTGATGATTCTGAGAAAGATTATTTGCTTCCCAGTTCACCAGATATTGCATGGGTAATTGTTAATGTTTATATATATATTTGTGAATTCTAATTTTTTGATTAATGAACATATCTATTTACACGTGTAATAGAGAGATGTTTTGGCTAAAGTTCTTTGCGTATCTAGTAATTCTGAACAGTAAGCACTCGAAACAAAATCTTTTTTTATTAATTGTAATGAAATTTCTAAGATATTTTTTTTTTAAAAAAAGTGATATTCGTGATAAAATTAAATCTAAAGTAAAAGACCTATCAAATGAAGAAGTTGAACGAATTCTATCAGGTTTTAAATGGTTGGGGTTGTTTTCTGATGCAAACGTTGATCGCAAATCCAATTTACTCGATACACTTTGTGCAACTTTGGAAGCAAAACTGAAATATGCAGAGGGTGAAAGAGACATGGTTATTCTACAACATAAATTCGAGATTGAGTGGAAAGATGGTAAAAAGGTGAATTCAAAATTTTATATTTGTGATGATGCACACAATTGAAAAAA